CATGGTTCCTTATGTAGAGTTCTCCACAGAAATGCATCCACACGCCGTGGTTACTCTGGTCAAAGATGCTTCCCCTGGGATTTTTTGGAAGTCCTTTACCTCTCCTTAATTCCTTGGTTTGTTTTGGTTTCTGGACACATAGCCCATTCATCTGTCTACTTCTATAGTAGACAGCATAGTCAGGTATATGTTTTTTACCTGATATAAAGGAAGCCCCCAGTGTTCGGATTGGAGTGAAGGAACAGATGTGGAAACACCGTTAGAAGATCAGAGATGTGAAATGTTTTTTGTGAGAATAAGTTAACGTAATCGGTTGGGTTTTTTTAGTGAAATATTTGAAAAGGTGTCATCTTAATTGGAGTTGTACTTCTTCTCCAACCACATTTCTCTTTTCATATTTCCACCAGGTTGCCTTTTGTGATTTTGGTTTTGTTTTAATCTTACAAACTACACCACTCTGGAGCATGCTATAAACAAATTGGGATGGAAGTTGTTGTTAATTTAAATCATGAATGGCATTTGTAAGGTGCTCGTCACCCAACATTGCGTGCTTTGACGTGATGTGAAAAGTACATCATCCTCCACTAGCTTCACTCTAAGCACTAAGGCTCTCCAGCCCGAGTTGTGTGCTTTTAAAAGCCAGGTTATGGTAGCAGCAGTGCTCCTTCTTGCAAATCCTGTTAGTTTTGCTTTGAAGGTAGCTATCATCATAGGTAAGGGTACCATCATTGCTGGGCTTCGCGAGCAAAGATTTGGGAAGGGCTCTACCCACGTTTGTTACAAGCGTGTTGGTGGCCAAAATGGCCAATACGAAGTAGGCACGTCCGGTTGCATAAGGCACAGCAGAAACACTCCTTAGGTAGTATATTCTGTAAGGCATGATTCTTTCTGCATTGTCATTTCTCCTCGACAGTGATCCTGCGTGTGTTCTCAAAGGAAGCAGCAGCATTAAAGACAGTGTGTCTCCAGGCCTCCCGAGTAGAAACCAGAGTAGATCAGTTATGTTGATCAATATGGCCAAGGATGAGATGTTGTTTCAGGGAGTCCTTGTATCTTCTCTTCAGTGCTCCTCTCTTACAGCAGCCGGTGGCCAGTTCACCATAGAGCAAGATCTTAGGGAGGCGGTTGTTGGTCCTTCATCCTGGAGACGTGCCCTGCCCAGCGCAGCTGTGTTCTTAGCAACATGGCCTCAATACTTGTGACAGCTGCTTGCTCTAGAACAGATGTATTGGTCACATAATCTGACCAGTGGATGTTAGGGATTGTACAGAGACAGCATTAATGGAAGCATTCTAGGTGACGCAGGTGGTGGCAGTAAATGGCCCGTGATTCAAATCCATATAAGAGAGTAGACAGCACTATGGCTTTGTAAACACTGATCTTGGTACTTTTCTTCAAGTGTTTATTTCGCCAAACTCTTTTATGAAGCTTTCCGAAGGCACTATATGCGTTTGCTAACCTGTTGTCTATCTCTCCATCAGTCTTAAGATCCGAGGAGATAAGGCTACTTAGGAAATTAAACTGCTGGACTGATTTGAGCTCTGATTGGCCAATGGTGATATGGGGATAATGGAAGACAGCTTGAAGAAGACAGAAATTCTCTATCAACC